AGCCCAGTCAATTGAGAATCCTTGGTGCTTTTCCTCAGGGCTTAAACAGAATATTGTGCTAAAGTAGGTCCTTGGTACAAACATAGACGCATAAAGCTCTACAGAGATTCACAGTGCCAGGCTTCGTCATAACTGTGGTGCTTGGATTTTCCCAAGCACCTCTCTTCTTAAACAAAGTTTGGCACAAACTCCAGTTGTATCACCGATATCAAGAACCAAGGTGGAAACCAAAAGTCATACACAAGTGTGTGCAGCATGAGAAGACCAATCTCTGCATTTAATAGGATGCAATCATCAACTGATGACTGAGAAATGTGGAATTAATGGTGGTGACTTCCAGCACAGGCTCTGAGTCAGAGATCTGAGATCTGGCACTTTTTCACTAATATCTTGTTTGAATCTGGGACATTCACATCTGAACCTCAGTGTCTTCATTTCTAAAATGGGAATAATTATTTACTTATACTATGAGGTTGAAGAAAGGATTAAGTTAAATTACATATGTAGAGCAGTCAGTGCAGTTTCTGGCACATGATAAATTATGAAAAGTTAGTTACTTTTAAATTAATTATTATTATCATCACTACTAGTTTTAATTGGGAAATGCTTTTCAAAAATGATCACTTTGAATTTAACTTGTATGTCATCTGATCTGGAAGTATAATAAGGGTATCTAATTCCTTCTGATTTAGTGAGTCAAACAGAAAAACCAAAACAAATTGAATCATTCAACTGGTGTATTTAGAATTGCTGACGATTATAGCATTCAAGAAAGTTAGTGAAACACATAAATTGCAATTCAACTGTTCTTGAAAATCTGCAAAGTCAGTTTTCATTTGTCTCATCTAGCAGTGGGTAAGACTTACTCATTTTTTAAAAAGAGCCTCCTTACAAAGAAATATCGTGTAAGGCGAATAAGGTGGAGATAAAGGGTGTTAATATACAGAGGTGTGCTACACTCAGTTACGTTCCATCTTAGACTACAAAAATCTGTGCCTCTCACTGGCATGGCGCTTTACTCTTTTCATGAAACCATCACTGCATCACCATTTCAGTAACACATACACACACATCCCATGAGACCACTTGTATATATTCAGTTTCTTTGTTTTCAGTAGTAACTCTCACCTCAGCCTGAACCCCTATTAGAGCCCTCGGTGGTTGGAAGGGAAGGTATAGTGTTAAGGACGTTATGGGACCAGTGCAGAATACTCATTCAAAGGACAATCTGATTAGAAAATTTTGACATGGTCTGGTATATACATTTCATTTATCAACTAATTAAACTCCACAATGCAACTTGGACAAATTCATCAGTATCAAAGTCCCGAATGTAGCATAATTTGAGTTGAGCATGTTGCATTTTGACAATGCTATAAACCAGGGAGACAATTTCCTGACAATTCTGTGCTACCCAACACCAGCTCAGGCCTCTGTTGGGTTTACTTGTCAATTTCTGTGGAAACATGATAGTTGCAAATCCTCATAGGATGCTGAACTGTGGATTGCAAAAGATGAGATGGACAGATTCATATTTTCATTATAGATTTTTTTGTTTTTATAAACTGCTGAGAATAATTTTTAGGCCAGGAAATGCAACTAATGTTTGTTTCTAGAATGGCTTCTGTTTTGGGATTTTGTCTTTGTAGAAAGAATATGTTGCCCAGCTGTCTAGAATTCCAATCAGGATATGGTTTCACGATGAGATATATTACAGGGGTGATGTTAGCTGGTTTTAAGCAGGAATGAAACAGGCTTGGACTATTTTATCCTTTTACCCTCAGAAAGGGCATCCTGGGTCAGTCCAACAGATCAATATGATTAAACGAGGCAAAGTTTAGTTCTGTGCTTTGCCCAAAACAGGAGAGAAATTCTGAAAAGTAAAGGGTTGCATAAGTCTGCAAGCAGAACTGTTGAGATTCTTATAAACAGCAATCGTGCAGGAACTGTCCAAAACTACTAAAATCAAGCAGAGTGGTGGGATCTGAGTAGAAATGACAGGAAATATATTGGTCAGCTTTCCCATTGCTGGGCAGCATACTTGACATCCACAGCTTCAAGGAGGAGAGGTTTAATTTGGCTAATGGTTTCAGAAGAGTCAGTCTATGGACAGTTGGTGCAAGGTAGGGACATTGCTGTGCAAGGGCATGGAAGAGTAGCAGTTCAGTTCATGGTGGCCTGGAAACACAAGAGCACAAGCAAGAGATTCACCTTCTAAAGGCACACCCCCAGTGACCTAGCTCCAACTGTCCCATCTCCTGTGCACACATTCAGCTATAAATATCGTGGATTAATCTACTGATGCGTAGAGGTCCCCATGATGCAGTCACCTCTCCAGGAGTCTCTTAATCCAGTAAAACTGAAAATTAAGGTCAACTGGCACAGAGGACTTAATGCTTGGTGATTTTCATACCTCTACATATGTCTCACTCACACACACATAGATTAAACAAATATAATTTTAAAACTTTCTGTATAGAGGCCCCAGGACTAGTACTATTTAATGAGGAAAAAGGCAAAGATGACTCAAGTTCTACCTTTTATAGTTTGTGGAAGAGATAAATATTTCAACCATTATCCAATTGTTTGATGCCAAGACTTTCAATTTTTAATGTTTCTGAAATGCTTTCGCTGAGTACCTTTGATTAGGTTCTCTCTAAAAGATGCCATTAAATCTATGGGTCTTATACTAGATGCAAATTTAAATGGTATATGTGAATATACTATTGTAAATTTCATTAGGGAGCGTAATGAGAAAGCAGGAAAAATCTAGATTCAGCCTTCCTGAAGGAAAATGCTAATGGAATGAGCCTTGAAAAAATGAGAACTCTACCTGGCAGGAAGCTTTTGTAAGGGTGATGGGAAGGAAAAAATAGAAGGGTATTGAAAGTGAAAGGAAGAGAGTATCAAAAGGCATTACCATATACAACATGCAAATATGGAAGGACTGTTTAAGATTGTATTAAAAAGGGGCAAGGGTTTTAGCTTAGTGGTGGAGCACTTGTTTAGCACACAGGAGGGTCTGGCTTTAATCGTTATCACCCTCTAACCCGACTCATATTCAAACGTATTACAAAGGAAGCTCAGAAGATCCAGCAGTCAAGTGGGAAACTGGAGCATGAGGACTTTTAAAATTTTTTTTCTGAGGACACCATTGACCATTTTTAAGTGCAAGAAAAACTAATAGGATACATTAACAAGGGAATACACGCATGATATCTAATTTAATTCTCACAAATTTTTCCAAAGTGTAACCTCATCCCCAACTCTTTTTGCTGATAAGGAACAAGGTCATGAAGAGGTTTAATAAAATGTCAAGAACACAATGAGCATCAGCTTCTACACCATTTGTTTGATTGTACGAAGGATGAACTATGTATGACACCATCTTGCAAATTTTTGGGCTTCTTGGTTTTGTTTCCTAATTTTTTTATTTTTTAAATTAATATAGATTTTAAGAGTAGTTTTAAATTTACAGAAGAATTGGGCTAAAAGTATATGAAGTTACCACACACCCCATCTCAGTTCCAAATTTTCCTCCTGGTGTTAACATCTGACAGTAGTGTGGTGACTTTGTTCCATGTAATGAATCAACATTGATACATTGTTATTAGCTAATATACCTGGCTTACATTAGAGTATACTCTCTGTGTTGTATACATTATGTTTTCTTTGTTTCAAGATACTGTCTCACCATTTTTCCCAGGCTGTTCTTGAACTTCAGGACTTCAGTGTTGCTCTTGCTGCAGCCTCATGGGTAGCTAGGATTATGGGCATGTACCACCCTGCCCCACAAACTTAATGAGTTTGACAAATATGCAATGACATGTATCTACAACTATGCATTTTTTAACTGTCTTTCAGAATCTCTTGTGCTAACAGTATACCTGTACATCTCTCTCACCTGCCCTTTCAAATCCTTTGCTACTGTTAAACCCTTACTATCTTTTTAGCTTTTCCTTTTATAAAATGTCATACATCTTACCTTATATAGTCTTCATGCTGGCTTGTTCTAATATGACTTAATATTCCCCCAAGCCTTTTCATGGCTTAATAGCTCAGTCCTTTTTATCACTAAGTAATATTTCATTATATGGATGTACCACATCTATTTCACCTATTAAAGAACGTGTTTTTGCCCTTGTTCTTTTCCCTGATCAAATCCAGGGTCTCATGAATGTTAGAAAAGTGCTCTCCTAATGAGTTATAACTCAAGTACTGCCTTTAAATTCATGAATAAAACTGCTGTAAATATTTGTATGCAAGTTTCTGTAGGGACATATTTTCGGCTTCTTTGGGTGAACACCAAGGAGTGCAGTTGCTGAGTTGTACAAAATATATTTCTTTTAATAAAAAACTGCTAAATGTTTTCCAAAGTGACCAAACTGTTTTTCATTTCTTCCAGAAATGAGAGTTTTTATAGTTTTGCATCTTAGCAAGCATTTGGTGTTGTGTTTTAAATTTAACCATTTTAATAGGTTTTTAGTCATATCTCATTGTTCTAATTTGTACTTCTTTGATAATATATAAATTTCTTACCTTTTAGTTTTTTTCTCCTATTTATACATTTTTCTAATTCGTGATTTTGACTATTTTGTCCTTCCTTCCTTCCTTCCTTCCTTTCTCCCTCCCTTCCTTCCTTCCTTTCTTCCTTCTCTTCTGTCTTTCATCAGCATATGTTAAGTGTCTATTATAAACCAGTAACTTTTTAAAAATTGGGCTATTTTTGTTTCTTTTACTCTTTTTTTTCTCTTAGTATGTCATGTTCTGTTCTTTATTTATTTCACATAAATTTTTACTTTATCTTTCAATTATATTTATTTCCATATAAACTGATTATCTTTTACTTTTGTGGTGATAATTTTAAAATTTCTTCAACTTTATCTTTTTTCCTTCATGCACTTGTCATTATTTATTCACAGTACGCACAATATAGAGTCTGGAGTATCATTAGAGATGTACCTCCTGCAAAAAATATCTAAAATAAAGAGGTAACTTACCTTGGTTGACAATAAATCTCAACTTCTGGATTGTTGCCAGATTGCCACTGACTCTATATATTCCATCCACATCTAGACCTGAAAACAAAAGGACATATTTTATATTAGGATGTAAGAACTATGATGGTAAAAAATAAATAGGAGAAGGAAGAGAGTAGCAGATAACTATCAAATAACTTTTCCTCACAGAGAAAGCAAATTTCTACATCCTAAACTGAGCAATATTCAAAAGTTCAGTGACAGTTAATCATCAATAAATCTGAATCTGGTTGAACCACAGAAGAACTACAGGTAGCGTGCTTTTTGTAGATTTAGTTCCAACAAAACTATAGCAACTGAACTAGGGGTAAAAAGAACCTCTTGTTTTATATATATATATATTACATCCCCTTTATGGATAGTAAAAAAAGGTGCTTGCCTAGTATACTTTGGTCTGATTATTTGAAGCTACAAAATAAAAATCCTAACGCAGATGTATAACTAGCTAGATAACTTCTAGCATATAGTGAATAATGTTATGGAGGGATAAAAGATGTCAATATGATGGTATGAGCTTTAGATTACTTTAGAACTGGGCATCAAAATGACTTGATTTGGATGTGGATTTGGAATATCAGTTACTTTTTTGACACATTTATTTATAGCATATACTTACTTTTTGAACAAGTTATTAGAAAGAATGTGATGTAGGAAAATTGAAAACTAATATAATATAATATAATGACATAAATGTATATTCTCTTTGGCTGTACCCTTTCAGAGAGGCTTGGGTGTGATTCATACCACTTTGTCTAAGAGATTGAGAAAGTTCTATGGGTTAGTCATTGTAATTCACAATAACATTAATGAATTGGGAGAAATATCACAATGTAACAAACAAAGATTTCACAGGACTCTTTACAGTCATGAAGTGATCTCTTTCAATGCTTTAGCCATGTCTGTATTTTTAAATGGTTTCATTAAGAAAAGCACCACCACTATGGAAAACATTTCATTGGTAAGTTAGACTAACATAATATATAGCATTGATCTAAGTGACAAAATTTAGAACAATCATCATTTTTATTCTCCTATGTAATAAACTATAGAATGACTTGGGACAGTATGTAAAAAATGAATAGCTATTAATAAATATATTACTGAATATGAGTTTTATAGTTCTAGAATAATCTAACAATAAACATTAAATTACTGAGACTCCGTCTCTTCCCCAGAAGTATGGATTGTGAGGAATTGCATGATGCTACTCACCTGTTAGTAAGTGGTCAAAGTTTCTAGGATACAGACATTTGTAAAAATCAGTATAGTTTTTCTTCTTGGTACACAAAATCAATCCATTAAGCTAAGGGTACTCAAGTCTCTTCCAAAGTACACTTGACACCCTAAATGTCACTATAATCTTTACTAATTAAAATTTTCCTAATACTTCATTCTCAGTTTTAGTCTGGATTCAAGTTGGGTTTACAATGATGTACATATGCACAGAAATCAAAAGTTTAATGTATGCATGATTTGTTAATTATTTTTCTCCTTTATCATTAGATACTGGTTGCTACTTAATTTTAACATATAAAGTTTTAAAAGATATGACTGCTTTTTAAAATATTAACATTTGTACAACTAAGCAAGTGTATTCCTTCAAAAGGTTTTCCACTTTTTTTTTGGAACATGTAGTCACCATTAAAAATATTTTTGATTTCTCTAAAATCATGCTTAGTGTCCCCTACTATCTATAGACAAAACCTATGGTTACAATTTGGGGAATAGTGTTGGTTTAAAAAGTTAAACGTCATTCAGAACTCAGAGTGGTATATAATGTCACTGATTGCCGCCACAAGCTAGCAAAGGTTAGACAAAGTTTGACCAAATGAAAATTGTCCTGCTCTTTCCCCTGTAGCTTACCCATTGCCTTGAAAAAATTTAGAAAAACTGTCTGAGAAATTAGAAACATAAGTGGAATATATGGGTTTGTATTTTCTCATGAGAAATCCTAACTTTTTTTAAAGGAGAGTCACTTATTAGTGCTGTTTCAGATAACAATTACAAAAGAAAAGTAAATTAATATCTATTCCAATAAAAATGAAAAGTTGACTCTAGTTTTTTTTTAAGTAATGTTTCCCTAACTAGCTCAGCATTTATGAGGCCAATGACAAGTGTAATTATTTGAATTCCCACAAATTTTTATTGCAACTCACAACTTTTCCCAAATCTCATTTTAATATGCTGCCCCTTTCTATGAGGTATAAAATCAGTGCATTTTTATTTTGAGGATAACACCCCTGTAATATTCTTTTAAAAGTATTGAAATGAATTTATTGTCTTGAGTTGCAAATTGTATTTCAAACGCCACAATTCCCAGTGTCGAGAATGTCTTCCTCTTGACAGATATTTGAAGTTACAACATAGGAAACATCCCCCTTGGCTTTTTGTAAATTTCAGTAGAATTTTTCTTATCTTCAATAATCAAAACCATTAGAAAGAGTAGTGTGAGTGGGATATATTTCAGACGACCAATGAAAGCAGCCTCGCCCTAAATTAATAACCCACCTTTTGGGGAGGGATGAAAGAGGGAGCATTGATGAGGGAGACAGGGGTTTAATTCAGACCTGCACTACCATTGCGGTTATAGAAATGAGTATTCAGCAGTGAAACTCTTTTGTGGCTTAAGATAGAAACCAGAAAGCAAGAGAAGTAAAGTAAAACATATTAGATGCAATGTGAGTCTAACGTGACGCAAATTCCAAGCCCTTCAGAATCAGAGGTGTCAGCACCATACAGCTCCCGAATGAACGATAATCATCTCTGACATTAGTGGCTCCTGCTCTGAATGGCTCCTGCTCCTCTGACATCATACTTTTTAAATTACACAAATAGAGTGAAAATGACAAAGTACATATTAAAAAGGAGGGTATTACATTTTGCAAAATAATCTGGAACTTATCAGTGAATTTTAGCAATTATAAATTATGTAGGTATGGTCTTGAGGTTGATTACCCTTTCCCTGAATAACTCTCAAAATGGCAAACCTAAAGTCCTGGGAATATTATCCAAATTACAATTATTCACGTGTCATCCTTTTTTATTTCAAGAACTTTTAAAGTAGTGCCAAACCAAATCAATGTAAATTGGTGGATTTGGACATCCTCTTCATGACCACATTATCCTTGCTGGACTGGAAACTACTTATTTTGGAAATATAATTAGACTTTGCATGATTTTTAAATGAGCAATGTTCAAGGTACCCACGTTATGCTTTAGTGAAGTTTGGACCCAAATTACTTTGAGAGTTACCTCTTTCAAGAAAATAACATAATTGAATGCTGTCTGAAACTTTGTCTGTTCAGCTAAAAATACTTTGGGAACACAATAAAACTAACTCATTGTACATACTTTTTTTCCCATCAGAATGGCATTAACAGCTGTAATGAAATATTTTGAGGAAATCCACATTTACTGAAATATTATTTCTATGTTCATCACCAACTGACTTATCTTTCAAAATAGTGTTTACTATTAGCAGACTCATTGGGTATTCCTATAGGAGATTCTTGAAAGTCCTTTTCTCCTTCTGAAGAAGCTCATATGAGGATAGTCACACAATTAAGATTTATTAGAACAAATGCTGGTATAAACCCAGTGGAAAGAATGCAGCGGTCATAAGTAATTCCCACCATAAATCTTAGACATTTTCCAAAAAGAAATCTTAGAGACCAGCACTGTGTCCAGAGTTGACTGGTTTATTTGCCAAAAAAATGGACAGATAGTGACAGTATAGATGAGCCTGCTAAATGTAGTTGCAAACTGTGGATTAGCATTGTTGATAATCTGAATTATGGGCATACTACACAAGACACGGAATTTGATTCTGGTTGAGGAATGGACCTTAAGAGCCTACTTGTTTTTCTGACCTATATCAAATGCATCTGAACCTCCAGGGCCTGCAAATAGGAGCTGGAAACTTTGCAAACGGTCCCTCTCCTGAGATTTATAGTGCTTCCTAATTCCTAGGAGACCAGAGTTAATGCAGGAAGAGTCATTCTCGCAGTTCTTTGGACGTCTGGGTTTCCCTCAGCAAGAAGCACTCCATTGTAGCATTTTGACTGTTTACAGTCAGCTGTACACTGCTTTTGCTGGCCTTCCAACATCTTGCTTGGATTCAGAGCTCATCATCAGGAGAGGTCTTCGTGCCATTCAGACCTACTCCTTCTCTAGGTTGAAAGTGTTTCCAAATTCTTATTGCTGATTAATTTGCTCATGCACTTTGAATTCAAGGACTAAGTGTACAGAGTATAACTTAAAATTTTAAATTTAATTTCTACTTTATTTCAAGGACTGGAATTTATGCTCTGTTTGTGCCCATGTTATATAAATATTGCTAATGCCTTGTAAGGTGCTCATGCATGCCACTTCCTAAGAGTGATTACTTTAGGAAGGAATTAAAACAATTTTGATGACTAAGAGTGCTTTCACTTTATAGAATAACTATATAACTTCACAACAACCATTCTAAATAGAGTTTTTAACTGTAGGGGCAATACATTTGCATGGTGAAAACCAACATTAAACCACAGAGAAGTGAAGTGAGAATGAGCATTTGCCCTAGCCTGCTCCCCAAGAGAGTCATTTTTAACAGTTCTGTTTGGATTCCTTTCGTTGTTATTCATTTTATTCTAATGTGTCTTTTTGTTGCTTAGAACACACTACCTTTGGGTGGTACTTACTGACCTAATTCAGAACTTAATGCCTTCATAGCTTTCTTGCTTTTCAATCTTCTTTCTCTTCATTACTAGTTATATTTGTCTACTTTCATTTTTAATGTATCAAAATCACTTGCCTTATAAAAAATAAACAAATGCATTTACTGTCCCTTCCTCTTCTCTCACCACTTTGCAGTCTTATTCTGTATATTCTCAAAGTTTAGAGCCTTTTATTTTGTTCTTCATAAATATTTTGTGACTTATCCATGTATAAAAATGTCTCTATTTTTAAAAATGGTGTGATTAGGTTTGACACTAAAATTTTGTTTCATAAAGGAGAGCTTCTGAAACCTAGGATTGAATGTACCCCCTCCTTTCTTG